GACCTGGCGCACAGGGAGTGAGTCCCGCATCGCCGTTTTAGAACAGGGACATTTCTTCAGTAAAGACTGCCTGTAACCAGCAGAAGGCTCCCTGAGGAGCCAGAGGTGAGCTGGGAAGTTAGCCCATGCCAGGCCCCTTCTGGCCTGCAGTCCAAGCCAGAGGGGGAGCGGGACACAACGCCAGGGCAGACCGGGCACGCAAGGAGTGTGGCCTGCAAAACCATCTTAGACAGGGACATTTCTTCAGTAAAGACTGCCTGAAACCAGCATAAGGCTGCCGGAGGAACCAGAGGTGAGCTGGGAAGTTCGCCTACGCCAGGCCCCTTCTGGCCTGCAGTCCCAGCCCAGAGGGGGAGTGGGAACCCACTGCCGGGGCAGACCAGGAGCACAGGGAGTGCATCCCGCATCGCCAGTTTAGAACAGGGACCTTTCTTCAGTAAAAACTGCCTGAAACCAGCAGAAGACTCCCGGTGGAGCCATAGGCGAGCTGGGAAGTTTTCCCAGGCCAGGCCCCTTCTGGCCTGCAGTCCCAGCTCAGAGGGTGAGCGGGAACCCACCGCCGGGACAGACCAGGCGCCCAGGTAGTGTGTTCCACATCGCCATTTTAGAACAGGGACATTTCTCCAGTAAAGACTGCCGGAAACCAGCATAAGGCTGCCGGAGGAGCCAGAGGTGAGCTGAGAAGTTTGCCCATGCCTGGCCCCTTCTGGTCTGCAGTCCGAGGCCAGAGAGGGAGCGGGAACCCACCACCGGGGAGCACCAGGCACACAGGGGAGTGTGTCCCCGCATCGGCATTTTAGAACAGGGACCTTTCTTCAGTAAAGACTGCTTGAAACTGACAGATGGCTCCCGGAGGAGCCAGAGGGGAGTGGAGTAGTTCAACCAAGATGCCGGCCAGTCCCAGCAACACAGTGTCCCAATGCATACGGCAAATTAGAAAACAGACAGTAGGGAGTAGAAGAACCACACGCAACCTAGCAACTCCTCAGGAAAAAAAGCACACCACAAAAAGAAAAGCGAGGAGGGAAGCAATTCTGTGTTCTTTTGCCAGCACTGACAAAGGTCTGGTTGTCAGTGATACCTTTACAGCTAAATTTACTCCAGAGTGACAGGAACAGGTGCACCTCGGCCTGCCAGACACTTGTGCACAGGGATCACGCATCTTACGGCTTGACGATCAAGGGGGGAAAGCCTGGGTCTTCATAGAAAAGGAGAGGAGGCAAACGCAGCCCAAACTGGGGGGTTTCTCTTCAAAGCCAGCTGGTCTGGCTTTATTCTACAGGAATTTTTTTACCTGTCAGAGTTTGGACAACAAAGCCCTCAGCAGGTGCTGACGGGTACAACTTCCTGGAGAAGCAGAAAGGCACTGGTGAGTTTCAATGGCCAAAATATATTTTTTTAATCTCTAAAAGTTGATTTTGTTATATTGGAAGAGGCATTGCTGAGGTACCTACTTTCAGAAAGCTGATGAGACCATTGGAATCAGAGCCAACTAACTCAACAGCGGGTCTGCCTGGTGTAGAATGGAGAGCTGTTACCATCTGACATTTTTTTTAATATATTAAAAAGGTTTTTTTTTTTTTAAGAAAATACTTTATATTTTTGTTCTTCATCTTCTCCATTACTAGTTTCAACATATGAAAGATGAAGACTTAATTACATATATAATAGACTATTTAAACACATAATGATCATGTTACCACTTTTTAATTCTGTCATAAGTCTGAATAAAATGCTATTTTTCAAAAAAAAAAAAAAAATTACATAAAATAAAATATTTTTTAAAATCAATATCTATCATACTCATGCGCTTTCAAAACATTGAGATAAAGAACAACATTCAAATATATTTTATGAGAACACTATAATACCAATCCAATGACAACACACAAAAAAAGAAGACAACAGATCAGTGTCCTTAATGAATACATACACTAAAATCATCAACAAAATCTTAGCAAACCAAATCCAACAATGTGTTGAAAAGATGAAAAATCATGACAAATTAGGATTTATTCCAATGGCACAAGGGTAGTTTAACATCTGAAAATCAGTGTAATTCACCACATCAGCAAGAAGAAAGATAAAAACCATATGATATCAATAGATGCTAGGAAGGCATTTGCAAAGTTCAATACCCATTTATAGTGAAAGCCCTTCAAAAACCAGGGATAAATAGAACATAACATAATTTAAATCATATGTAGAAAACCTACAGATAGCATCATTATCAATTATGAAAAGCTGAAAGCCTTTCCACTAAGATCGGGTATAAGACAATGATGTCCACTCTTACCACCGCTATTCAACATAGTATTGGAAGTCAAATCTAGAGCAGTTAGGAAAGAGGAAGGTAGGAAAGAAATCCAAATTGAGAAAGAAATAAAACTGTCATTATTTGCAAATGACATAATATACATAGAAAACTATATGAAATTCATGGAAAAAGTAAAACAATAAGTGGCAGGCTACATAATCAATAGACAAACATCAGTTGCCTCCTATAGGCAGACAGTAAGCTAGAAGAGGAAGAGCTAAGAAAACCATATCATTTACAGTCATACCCAGGAAAATGAGATACATCAAACTAAACCTAATAAGGGAGGTGAAGGACCTATACAAGGAAAACTAAAACACTGTTAAAGGAAATAGAAAATGACACAAAGAAATGGAAAGATATCCCCTACTCATGGATTAGAAGAATAAATCTCAAAATGGCACCTTACAGATTCAATGTGATGTCAATTAAAATTGTGGTGGCAGTCTTCAGAAAATGGAATAAATATTGCTGAAATTCATATAGAATCACAGAAGACCTCAAACAGCCAAATCTATCCTGAACAAAAAAAAAAAAAAAAAAAAAGACAGAAAAGTAAGATATTAAACCTCCAGGCTTTAAACTGTAGTAGGAAGCCATAATTAAAACAGCATGGTACTGGAACAAAAACAGATAAGGAGACCAATGAAATGGAATCAAGAACCCAGAAATAAAACCACACATATTTGAACAGTTAATCTATGACAAAAGAGCGAAGAATATACACTAAAACAAGGAAAACCTCTTTAACAAATGGTGATGGGAAAATGGGAATACCACATGCAAATGAATGAAACTAGACCAGTATCTCACACCATACACAAAAATCAACTGAAAATGGACAAAAGACTTGGATGTAAGACCTGAAACCATAAAATACATGGCAGAAAACTTAAGCAAAACTCTCCAAAATATTAATTAATCTCAGATACTCTATATATATTCACCTCCAGCAGCATGGAAAATAAAAGAGAATATAAACATTTGGGATTACATCAAACAACAAAAGCGACTAAAACAAAGACACACCCTAATGAATGCAAAACAAAAAATTGCACAACATACATATTATAAGAAACTGACATTCAAGATCTACAAAGAACTCTTAAAACTCAACAAAATACAAAATGAATAACCCAATCAAAAAAAATGGGCAGAGACACTTCTCTGCAAAAGACATACAGACATCAGATAGGTGCTTGAAAAAAAATGTTCAATCAATTTCCTTTTATACTTCTTGTGTATAATCACTGAATTCTCTGTTCCTTTATCTTGGATTCAGCAAACGTTTTCATAGAGATCTCAATAAATGTCATGAGCTTGGCTGGTGTTTGCTTGGTTGCTGTAAATATTTCATAGAGTTCTGACAAATTGGTTCAAAAACAAGAGATTGGAACTTTATAATCTGCTTCCTGTGTAAACTTTTCAGTGTTCATTTTGGATAACCATGAATATGAATAATATCTACTTAGAAACAAAAGTTTGCAAAGTTAAAGTCATTTTAAAGTAATTTAAGTGAAATAATTAGAAAAGACAGATTCAGAACATTTTTACTTGTGTTATACTCACACAATAGAATGGGGCTATTTGGGACCTATTTGGGGTGGATTTTTGTCCTTTTTTAACTTTTAAGAATTGTTAGTTGGAGAAAGAATCAAACATCCTTAGTTTTTTAGCTACTACCAGAACTGTGTTTTAGGTTCTATAGGAATTATATTTTAAAGTCATGAAGTAATTCTATTTAATAAAAGTTTTTTTATTCAATAATGCAGTCATTTCATAAACCCTACTGAAATTACCGACGGAAAGGATAATTATCAGTGCCTTTAAAAATCATCGGATGGTTGTTGGGAAACTGAATATTCATATAATTTCAAAGTAGCACTATACAAGTAATTTAGTGATCACAAGGGGTAAAACCTAACTACAATGAAGGGATCGTTATCACCCCAATCTGTAAGCAAATTAACATATTAATAGTAAAATTATATCTTTCAATGTGTTGCAACTTGAGCATACTAATAAATTTTAGCTTAAAAGATTTGACTTGACTCTTATCAGACCTGTTAAGCTTTTGGAAAATTCAGGTCGTAAACCCTATTTAATGGAGAAACAATTTAAATAATATTATGACAAAACAACACAAATCCATAAAATTAGGCATTTTGCAGAAAAAGAGCTACCTCTCTTCAACAGCACAAGGTCATTAAAAAAGACAGTACTTTCGGTTATAAAAGACTTCCTGAGATAACCAGATATATATCCTTGGGTTGATTATTGGATTGGGTCAGTTAGGAAAATCTGAATATGATCTAGAAGTACTAATAAGAACACATACTAAAATAAAACAGAAATGCAGTAAAATGCAGGTTATACAAATTTGTACAGTCACATTTTGGTAAAAATAGAAGTATGGAAAATATGTGTATGTATGTAGAAAAAGATCTAGAATATATACTTATGATATATAGAGGAATGTGGCTTTTTCCTTGTTACATCTCTATATTCTGATTTTATATACTGTTGTAATAAAAGTATTTCAAATATAAATATATTTTTAAATATATCAACTTCCATCTAATTCTGACGTTTCACAATTTTATGAGCAGTGTCTATAATACATGGAACGTATATATTTCAAGCTTTTATGAAACTAAAATGTTTTAATCCCTTTCTTTCCTAGATAGAGAGTCTAGATTTTTTATTTCTACTAAAGACAATTGAGGAATTCTATAAAAGTGAAGATGGGGAAAATCTGGAAATCCTCTGCCCAGTTCACAATCAAGCCTGTGTTGCTAAATTTGAAGATGGAGTTTGGTATCGAGCAAAAGTTGTTGGTAGGAAATTGTTTGCTATTTTCTTATAGGGATTATGCTTTAAAAATGGATAATCATTTAAACTAGTTTAAATTATGGAAGTGGCAGTTGATCTTACCATTTTTGCTCTGTCATCTATCTTCAGAAAGCTAGTGATAACTTTGGGGGTTGAATCTCTGGCTCCTTTTGGTTTCTTTTTATTTGACTTAGGTATTAACCATATTTTTGTTTTCCAATATCTACCTATTTTAACAAGTAAATTAGTGCTAAGTGACTTGCACTCTGCTCCTCTAAGGCAACTACTTTTCATTCTCCAACTTTTTTTTTTTTTTTTTGGTATTTGTTATTTCTTCTAAATAATATGTAATACTTCCCTTGAGACTTCAATCTTAGATATTATCTGTTCTTATTTTTATTAGATGATAATTTTATATCTAATAGCTCTTTTGTACCCTCCTTATCTCCCTCATAAACACAATTTTAGTTCACAATCTATGTAAATGTTTTCACTGCTAAACCATGAAGAATATTTGGGGTTAGTAATTACGTTGTCACATTTTTTGAGATTTATGGCTATATTAACAGTTCAAAACAATTTCCCACATAAACTTTGCAGACAATCTTAGTATGATTTTTTTTTACTTTTATTTTCTCCTCCTATTAGACCACAAATTTGTTATTCTGAAACTTTCACTTAGCAACATACTTCATTGTTCTTCCCTATTAGATCCCTTGTTTTCTGCATCCCACATTTACCTCTGCAGTTTACTCACTTATTTTTTGTGAAGCTTCTTCTGATTGTTTCCTCAGAGAATAAAGGAGAGGTAAATTTTGAGTCCTGCCATGTCTCCTGACTCTACTTTGATATGTAATTGATAATGGAATTTTAAAAGTTCTTTAAATTCCATCCCATATCCATTTATTTGTTAAGAAAAACTGCAACCCCACACAGAGACCTAAGAAATGGTTAAGAATCTAATGGCTTGGTACAGTTGAGAATAACCTTGTAACATGAATATCCAGTAGAAGCAGGGAGATATTTCATCACCTTCTTGCCTTATAGTAACATATATCTTATCTTCTTATAATAACACACTTTGCCGCAGATACCCACTACCATGTGGCCTAAGTTGTTTGAAGTGTCATCTAGAGTATCATTCTTGTTCCACCTGCTTCCACATGTGCCAAGGAGCAGAGAATGCCTACTTTTTTCCCATATTGAAATTATATGTCTTTAAATTTGAAAACTGATGGCCAATAAGTATAGTAGCACTGTACATAGGTGAGCTGAGAGAGGCTAATATAAACTATATAGCCTTAGTATTTTCAAAAAGGTCAGTTTGTGATAGACCTTTATTTAAATATTGAAGTGTTTGAAACTTCCAGAGGGTTTAGATTTACATAGAAGTCTGTCTTTGCTTGTCTTTTACCATATCCCACCTCTGAAAATAAGTTTAAAAAAATTTAGATACCATTATATGAATAGTTTTATTGTTAAATCTTTTCCTTTTCATCATCTATATTGACTGAAAGTAAATGTTTAAGTGTTTAATTTGTGCCTAGGCCTTTGCACAAAAACTGGTGAATCCTGAAAAAAGTCCTTTGAGATTTCATTCTACTGGTATACTCATTTTACAGATGAAATAATCAGGCATAGAAAAATTTAACTGCTCAGAGTAATATCTTAGAGATACCAAGTTGCTTAGAGTCATACGCATTTAAATGATTGGACTATGGTTCTGACTCAGTGTAACTCAAAGTCTAATTCTCAACTGTCAGGTCATAACAACTAGCACTTGATAGTTATTTGTTGTGTTGTTTTATTTTTGTCTAACAGAACATTTCTATGGTGAAATAAGGATATCTTAAAATTGTTTCTTATTCTCCAAGTCTCAACAGCTTTGTATTACTATTTTTTTGACACTCACGTTAGAAGTAATTTTTATATTTAAAAAAATATGAAGCTCATTTGATCTGGATATGAAGGTACTCTGTTCTAGTTGTCTGTAGAGTGATCTAAATTCTCTGTTTCTTTCCATGTTAGTGATTTCTGATTTCTTAATTTTTTGAAGGCTTGCCAGGACATCGGGAAGTTGAAGTTAAATATGTGGACTTTGGCAATACTGCAAAAATAACAGTTAAAGACATGCGTAAAATAAAGGATGAGTTTCTGAGTCCCCCTGAGAAGGTAATCTACTTATTGTGACTCATAGGGTTAAAATATTACCACAAAAATGTTCTGTTACCTACTTTTTTTGCGTGTAAATAATTCTATAGTCCTGATATAGGACTATAGAAAAGAGTTGCTTAAGTTTCCATCTAAAATAAAATGTATATCTTAACAAATAAGCACTAATTAAAAATGTATATGCATATATATTGATATATGTGTTTTTATAACTATTTGCTGGTCTGCAGCTTTTAACATGTTATTTTGAAATATACCTATATACTGTGGTATCATGTTATGCTGTTATGAAAAAAGTTCATTGCAGAAGTATTTTTTCTATGATCCCGTTTGTGTTTAAGGATATATAATGTACACAAGGGAAAGAAGTCTGATAGAATAAGTGAAAAAACTTATCTTTCTCTTGAAATCCTATACTTTAGACATCGAAAGTTTAAGGGGGTTTATTTTATAATTCATGTACTCTATCATATTTGAATTACTATTTAGCAATATTTTTCATTTTAAAAATGGGTAAAATGTTATAGGAAAATCTTGAAAATACAGATAAGCAAAATGAGGTATATCATTCAGAATTACTATTTATTTGATATATACTTCTAAGATGCATCTTCTGTGTTTTTCACAATTATAGGGTTAGACTATGTATAGTGCTTTTCTAACTTAACAATGTATCATAAATATAAATTTTTAGAATTAGTAATTAATTTTACTTTCTTAATGGTGCTTTTTTTGTTTAACACAGGCAATTAAATGTAAGCTAGCCTATATTGAACCATGTAAAAGGACAATGCAGTGGCCAAAAAAATCTAAAGAAAAATTTGAAGAAAAGACTCAAGATAAATTTATGACTTGTTCAGTCATTAGTAAGCCATTTCCATTTTCATTTGTCACTAATGATCATAAGTTTAAATAAGAATAGCATTATAATATTTCCCAGATCTTAAAATAAGTTCATTGTGCCATCAGTAAAAGTAGTGGGAGATAGCATTGATAATTAGGAACAATTAAATACCTCCTTCTGCTCCAGAGTATAAACTTAGCACACCAGAGAAAAATTAATACTAAAGATAAAGTCATGCAACATAATCTCTTGAAAACCCTAAAGCCAGGAATTAGCTTCGCATTCCTGTTTGCATTTTTTAACTAGGGCTCTGCCCCTGATCTTTGGCATGGTGGTTATTAAGATTTAATTTGCAGGAATATGAAGGGATATGTGGTACATGCCTGGTAAGTGGTATGTGTTTGTTTGCTATTCCATTTGACTTGAGAGCTGTAGGCTCTCAGCATATTTTGAAAAATGTTACTTCTCTGTTGGAACATTTTGCATCCAAGATACAGAATGACCACTAGCCTGTAATTTTGTAATCTAACAAGTTCTGAAAATCAAATGTTTAACTAAAGCCTGATATGAATTGACACAGGAAACATTGTGGTCTTTATCTCCTTTACACTGAATTTTCATACACCCCACTTTAGGATAGTAATTTGGTCAGGAGAAGGCCTGCTGCTTGTTTATCATACCAGCATTAAATGTACCCAATCAACCTAATCAACCTAACTTATTAGCTTGTTTTCCAGTGAGGAAACTGCAACCTAGACATCAGATGTTCAAAGCCACGTAACCTATAAATGATGGCATATATATGATCATTTATTCACTTTGTTCGTTAAAGAAATTGTTTTGAAGAAATAGTTCTGTTGAAGGGGAATATGACTATAGATATAGCATCTTTAGACTATAGAATTTTTATATCTGGCTTCTCTAATATGATAGTAAATTAAGACTTTGAGAATTTCTACTGATGATACTGCTAATAAGAGCATTTCTTTTTATTGAGAATCACTCCCACTAATAACTACCAGCTATTTAGTTTAGAAGGTGTAAGCATAAACGGATCTCAGCACAAGGAAATGTTTCCTAAAGATATTCCTTCATCTGTACTAGGTACCATAAATAATGATTATTGGCACATGAGATGTAAAACTTGCCTTCAGTTAACTCCCAATTTAGTTTCAGACATAGCTCTAAAAACAAGTAACCACCTTCTTTTCCAAAAGAAATTAAAATTTAAGATGGCTCTTTCTGAAAGCAGAAAATTCTAGATTGAGTTTTTATTGTTTTAAATTTTGTACCATTCTTTTTTTATTATATCATTATTCATTTTTGTACATTAATTGGTTCTCCCCTCAGGTGTACTCCCTGGAGTTTTAAACTTTGTGCCATTCTTATAAAAGCTGTAAGCTTTTGCAAATAATCACAGCCCTAAATTAACTCATTTCTTTTTTCCTCTGGAATTTGATAAAACAGTTTGGAAACATAACACTTCATCAACAAATATATGTCAATATTTTTCTGAATCTAAAAGTTTTAAATTGCTTTTGGTTCATTATGGAACAGTACATAATAACCTAAAATGAAAATTATTAATTTGCATATGCTAAATTCTATTTCTGCAAAATGCTACTTTACTCCTAGAGAGAGACTTTGACATTATTCAGCAAGAAACCTCATGTATACAGAATGAAAGAAATTGTTTCCAATTTTTTAATTACCTCATTTAGTATATTTTGCAACATATTTTTCCCCAAACTTAATGGTTTCACAGAAATTCTGGAAGATAATGTGCTCTTAGTTGAGCTTTTTGATTCTCTTGGTGCTCCTGGGATGACTCCTACTAGTATTAATGACCAGCTAGTCAAAGAAGGCCTAGCATCTTATGAAACAGGGTAAGTAGACCTGTAAACTCTTATTTTTAGTTTATCTGTAACACTTTATTCACAGGAAGGAAAACTGGCATATCATATTCTGTTGGATATCTGCTCTAGCCATAGACATGGGATTTTTGTTTGTTTTGGGTCAGAAAAAGTAGGGGGTGAAATAATTGAAGTCATTAGTCTTAATGGGGATTAGAATCCCTTTTTTTAGACCCTAATAGACCTTGAGACCAAGAGAATGGCCCTAGAGATTGAAAGTGCTTCTAGGAGAGAGACTGGTATCTTCTTTCTAGGTATAATGTCTGCTTAGCCTATTGTGCCTATTTGAAAAGAGAATTAGGAAGACAGATGGCAGGATACAGAATAAGCATAGTGGTGGAGTAGCCTACATTCCCATTTGGAGAAATGTGATCTTTTCCCCTTTGAGTTCAAATAGAACTTTGAAAGAGAATCTGGCTTGAGTCATTGTGCTAATATTATCCAGGACAAGCCAGGTATTGAAAACCCAGAAGCTGAAAGTCAGTAGTGCTAAGGAAGTGTGGGAAGATTTGGAGTCCAGATAAAGCAGTTCTTCCATGACAGTGACTTGTGCATATAGCCCACATGTAACCCAAAGTCCATTTTTGCTAGCACCTATATGCACTGCCTGTCAGGTAACCAGAGAAGCGTGAAACCCATCAGAGGTCTGCACCAAATGCTCAGCAGTTACCCTACCCACCCTAACCTGGAGGGGATAGAGGTATAAGAGAGAGCACCTATCTTTTTGCACTATAGGTCGTAAGAGAGGAGGGAAAGAGAAAGAGGAAACATTTAAGTATATTGAACTGAGTGTTCTTTTTTTTTTAAGTTAGAGTTATTAAGATATAACAAAATGGAAATTCACCATTTTTAGGTGCATAGTTAAATGACTTTGTTAAGCATACAGTTATACAGTCATTGTTGCAGTCAAGATCTAGAATACTTTTATCATCCCAAATAGTTCTCTTCTTCCCTTTTACAATCAGTCCCCTTCCTTCACATGCAACCCATGGCAACTAATTACGGTCTATACAATTTTGACTTTTCTACAACTTCAGATAAATAGTCCCACAATATACTGCCTTTTGTGTCTGACTTATTTTAATTATTATGCTGCTTTTAATTACTATTCTTTAATTATTATTGAGGTTCTCTGTATTGCCTTCTAGTATTCCATTTTGTGGATATACAATACTATTATACATTCACCAACTGATGAACATTTGGGCTATTTGTAGTTGAGGAAGATTCCGTGAATAAATGTGCTGTAAACATTTGGCTATAGGTCTTCGTGTTGAAATATGTATGTAATCTTCTCTTGAGGAAATATCTAGGAGTGAGATTACCGCTTATATTTTCAACTTTATAAGAAACTGCCAAATGATTTCCAAATTGGCTTTACCATTTTTCCATTCCCACCAGCAGTGTAAGAGAACTCTTTTCTAATCCTCATTTCTTGATTTTATCATTTGGTATATGTATATTACCATTCTTTTTTGTTTTTTTAATTGCATATGATAAACTTTTTAATTTTTTATTGTTATTAATTTTTTTTATTTTTTACATCATTGTTCATTTTTAAACAATTTTTTACTCCCCCCCACCCCCTCAGGTGTAGTCCCCATAGAGTTTACCTCATCAGTGCACCTGTGCACCATCACCTCAGTCCCCTGTGCTCCTCCCTCCATCCCCTGATCCCTCTCCTGCCTCCTCCCCTACAGTATGTCTCTGATTTATAATTGTCCATTTTTGCTTTGTTATGTTTTGTACTGTTATTTTTTTTATACTGGTCTTATTTGATTCCCCTATATTCCTGCTATAAGTGAAACCATCTGATATTTTTCTTTTTCCTTCTGGCTTATTTCACTGAGCATAATTCCTTCTAGCTCCATCTGTGTTGCTGTGAATGGCATGAGATTATCTTTTTTGATTGCTGAATAACATTCCATTGTGTATATATACCACATCTTCTTGATCCAGTCATCTGTTTTGGGCATTTGGGTTGCTTCCAGGCTTAACCTATTGTAAATAGTGCTGCAATAAACATAGTGGTACGGGTGGTCTTTTGAATCAATGTTTTTGTGTCCTTTGGGTAGATCCCTAGGAGTGGAATTGCCGGATTATATGGTAGCTCTATTTTTAGTAGGTTGAGAAACCTCCAGACAGCTTTCCATAGTGGATGGAGGAGTTTGCACTCCCACCAGCAATGTAAGAGAGTTCCTTTTTACCACATCTTCACCAACATTTGTTGTTGCTTGTTTTTTCGATATGTGCCATTCTTACTGGTGTAAGATGGTATCTCAATGTGGTTTTGATTTGCATTTCTCTGATGATAAGGGATGTTGAACATTTTTTCATGTGCCTGTTGGCCATTTGCATTTCCCCTTTGGAGAAATATCTTTTGAGTTTTTCTGCCCATTTCTTTTTTTTTTTTTTGATCTGTGATTGTTTTAATTATCTTAAGCCTTATGGTCACATGACTTACACATTTGTGCTGATGGTACATCTATGTTAATGAGCTGGCAAAAGCACCATTACCAATCACACATATATGGTAGTGCTGTAAGTGTATCTACCTTTGAATAGCTGTTTAAGAGACAATCCTGAACTGTATCTTAGTAAAGAATTCTACAAGTCTACTATCTCTTGTCAAGCATGAGTTTTAAAAGTATTTGAACTTATAGATTACCTATGTGAGAAGCATTTTCTTTTTTTTTTAATGTTATTAAACTAAAATGCCTTTCATTAAATAAAAGGCAACATTTTAGGTACAGGAAATTTTAATCAAATGGGCATCTTAAGACCAAAAAGATAAAATGGGCACTGCCAGCTTATCTTCTGCCCTTGTCTTTACTAGGCTAATAACACAACTTGAAACACAGATGAGTCTTGGTCTGTATGTGAGAAGCAAAGGGAATTTCTCAGTATTTAAATATATTAATATAACCAGTTATATAAAATCTAAATATAAAACCAGTTTCCTACAGATTTGGAGATGGCATTCACCATCTCAGTTAAAAGTCACTAATCAAGTACAATTAGATCTTAGAAAGGGAAACAATCACTGTACTTGACGAACCGTAACTGCTATCAAAATTCAAAACACCACATCTTATTCATTTAACCACAAGTCAATCTTATTTAAATCAGGACTGTCAAACAAAAAAAAATTCTATCAGCCATTCATGATCTGAATTCTGATGTATGAACTCAATTTAAATATGGTACACACAAAAAAGTCATGAGACATTTTTCCTTTATAATAAATAAGGCAGTGCCAACTATTACTCATTAGTAGCTTTCTTGAGATAAGCTATCAACTCTGCCCTTTCTGACTTCTTCTTAATGCCAGCGAAGATCATTTTTGTTCCAGGGATGTACTTCTTGGGATTCTCCAAATACTCCATCAGTGTGTCCTCTTTCCAGGTGATGCCTTTGTTCTTGTTGGCATCTGTGTAAGAAAATCCAGGGGCCTGACCTGTCTTTCACCCAAAGAGACCATGGAGATTTGGCCCAGTTTTGTGCTTGCCTCCCTTTTCCACAGTATGGCACTGGGCACACTTTTGAACAAAAATCTTCTTGCCCTTCTCAATGTCACTCATTTTTAAATTGCTTTTGTCGCGGGCGACACGAAGGTTAGCGCTCCCAAGCCGGACGTCCCGCTCCTTCTTTCTGCCCATTTCTTGACTGGATTGTTTATTTTGTTTTTGTTGAGGTCGTGTGAGTTCTTTGTATATCTTTGTCATCAGTCCCTTACCAGTTGAATAGAGTGCAAAGATTTTTTCCCAATCAGTGGGGTGACTCCCTGTTTTGGTTAGTGTCTCTTTTGCTGTATAGAAGCTTTTCAGTTTGATGTAATCCCAGCTGTTTATCTTTTCCTTGACTTTCTTTGCTTTGGGTGATGAGTCTTTAAAGATATTATTGCAGTGTATGTCTTGTAGTGTTTTACCTATATTTTCTTCTGTGTATTTTATGATTTCAGGTCTTATGTCCAGTTCTCTTACCCATTTTGAATTGATTTTTGTGCATTCTGAGAGGTAGTGGTCTAGTTTCATTTTTTTTGTATGTGGTGGTCCAGTTTTCCCAGCATCATTTATTGAACTAGCTGTCCATTTTCCATTGCATGTTCTTTGTTCTTTGCTCCTTTGTCAAAGATCAGTTGTCCATATAAGTGTGGTTTTATTTCTGGGCTCTCTATTCGGTTCCATTGGTCTGTGTGTCTGTTCCAGTACCAAACTGTTTTTATTATTATGGCTTTGTAGTATAGCTTGAAGTTTGGAAGTGTGATACCTTCTTTCTCCTTTATTTTCATCAGCAAGACTTTGGCTCTTCATGGTTTTTTGTGGTTCCATATGAATTTCATCAGTATTTGTTCTATTTCTTTGAAGAATGTCATTGAGATTTTTATTGAAATAGTGGTGAATCTGTATATCACTTTTGGTAGCATGGCCATTTTAATAATGTTAATTCTTCCAATCCATGAGCAGGGGATGTCTTTCCATTTCTTTGTGTCTTCTATTTCTTTTAACAGTGTTTTATAATTTTCTTTGTATAGGTCTTTCATCTCTTTTGTTAGGTTTGTTCCCAAGTATTTGATTATTTTGGTTTCAATTATAAAAGGGATGTTTTTCTTGATTTCTTCTTCAGATTGATTGTTTGTGTACAGGAGTGCTACTGATTTTTTTGTGTTGATTTTGTATCCTGCTACTTTACTTAACTGGTTGATTATTTTGAGTAGTTTTTCTGTGGAGTTTTTAGGGTTTTTATGTGTATATTATCATATCATCTGCAAATAGATGATATTTCTTTCCCTGTTTGGATTCCTTGTATGTCTTTCTCTTGTCTTATTGCCCTGGCTATGACCTCCAGTATTATATTGAAGAGCATTGGTGAGAGAGAACATCCTTGTCTTGTTCCTGATTTTAAAGGAAAGGCCTTCAGCTTTTCGCCATTGAGAATAATATGGTGGTGGGTTTGTCATATATGGCTTTTAT